GATATCCGTGACACAGGTACATGGGTTTCTCTTTGAAGGTATCAAATATTTCTGGGGAATTTCTGTATAATGCTGGGAAGTGCGTAGATTCGTCGAGAACATCTTGAGTGCTACTCTAATTTTCTGTGATATAAAGTGTTCATGTGGCTGCAGCGCTTGTCAAAGTGTGCACTTTGTCAACCAGTTCATCGACTTCATACCCAAGCTGCCAACTTTGAGGAAATTTTGGTCCATTTTGGGGGAATTTTGGGGAAGCCGCTATAGTAAATTTTGGGGAAATGAGACGCGAACCCCAAAATTTCCCCAAATTTTTGGGAAGGCCATTTCACTTTGGGGATTTCCCCAAAGCTGGCAGCTTGGGTAGATTCGTTTGCTTGACGGATTCTTTCTCTGAATTTAACCATTAATAGGGGGTCAACGAAATTTCTGAAACACTGTTGCAGCTACTCATTTATATAAATTCAATAAGTCGGTTAATAAGTTTAGTTGCTCACTGCTGATGGTATTCTCAGATATTCTACACAACACAAAAGTATCAAACATATACTAGGGTACTTGTGATTTTCGCCTGCTTTGACTTTCAGATTCCTTTTCGTTTTAAACTTTCCCAAATATCACACCTAGTCGTTAACCACTATTATTATTATTATTAATGACTTTATTCAATATTATATTTTGGTACAATATCGCCTCACAATGCCCTGGTGCAACCGAGAGTGGGGAGAGTCAGCTCTCCCTCTACAAATGCTCTCACACAGCAACGTGCATATAACCACTTCCCTCAAAGTTCAACTCTCTACCTTCTTGCGGCAGAGGTGTTGTTTACGAGATTGAGAGGACGAAAAGCGAATGCCTGGCACTTTAACCGGGTCGATGAGTACAGAGGGTTCACCTAAGGGAATTGGAAAACCCTGATTCCAAACCAACAGTGAACATGGGCTTCAGGGTTCTGATGGAACAATTGGCGTATGAACCGATTGTTGGTCACCAGCTACCATGGTACTGCATCTCCTTACGCTGCTCTACTGTCTTGTGGGTCAGACCTTTAGATCAAAGGCTCTGGGTGTGGCCCCCTGCGAAAGCCACCTGCTTCTGTCTGGGCACCCGTGCAGTATTCCAGCCCTCACACAAATCGAATGATTTGTGTGGCGCATTCCTATTTGGTGCCTTCTCGTACCTTTGTTTGTGTGTTGAAATGATAATGAAATGCTGTCACTCCATTCATACTGACTTTTTATTATCGATGATACTGTACCTATTAGATGTATGCAATAGTTAAAATAACTTAAAACAATGATTGGTCAAATATTAATCATAGTAGCAGACAAATAGCGACTATTAAAGTAACTTTTTCTGTAAACAAACTTTGCAACTGCTTTTATCATAAAACGTATTATTTCTTATAGGTAAATGACGTTTTCTACATAGATCAATTCGATGGTAATGCACATATTCGTGGAACGTTACATTTAACTCTGACGCACATATTTTTTCTTGGATTATCTCGAAAACAGGAAATATGGGTAGTCTTTTTTGTTTGTTCATGTTTATTCAGTATTTTGATGTATATATTATTGTTAAACATAAAATGTGCTTTTTGCGTGTGTTTAATCTGTTAAAACGAATCAATGTATTCATACAAATGTTATTCCGTAGGAGTAACTGATCAATGTGAGTTTAAAATATTGTTACTTACATAAGGTATCACCGCATTACCAACTTTTGAAACTGATATTAGATGGATTTATTCATTTTTCACCTTTCATTAAGTATATATGGTGGTTAAATGTTTAGGCTAAGAGAAATTATCAGCTGCGTTAAATTAGAAAGGAGGACTTTCTGACTGAGTAAATTTTAGGTTTTCGCAAACGTGATTTACCTAAGTCACATTATCATCTTCGAATCAAGAGTTGGCATAGATAATCCAACTGGAAAAATTTCGTAACTTGCTTGCAAATTCTCTAAACGTGTAATAATTCATAAGATGTCGGCTTTGTTGTTTACAACTGTTTCGATTTTCGTCAATTAACTCATGACTGGTCTTGATCTTCCTCAAACAGAATGATTCCTTACAGTTACCTTTACAATCTTCCCGACCGTTGTTGCTACCTTGACGTGGTGGTCGGGCTCACCTATCGTGATGAAGCAGCTGAGCTATACTGGCTGGAACAATCGTTCCTCAAGGTCCTATCATGCCAGACAGGCCGGTTGAAGTGCGGTAAGACTAAAGACAACAAACCCAAGGTCCGAAAGCGAAGTCCTACTGCTGACTGTACAGAGGTGTGACAGCAGTAAGGTGTTTCCTTCAAACGACCAGCATGACAACGATGCTGCCTTCTCACAAGGAGTGGTGCGGTCAAAAAAGGTCGACCCTAAAAGTGCACACCTCGCCTTATCCCACGAATATGTCTCCGGCGGTAAGGTCTCAACAAGTATGGAGCTAACACTAAAATTACTCACAAAATGGTCGTGTGTTACCGACCTCAAGCGGTTGTTCCTTGTGCAATAAAGTCACGCTCTCAGGTCACTAAGTCCACCTTTAACCCAATTCGCTTTTCAGGTACTTCCAGAGTGGTGCATATCTATTTGGTGCCTTCTTGTATCAATATTTATGTATTCAAATAAATAAATAAACTTCCAGAGTAACCCTTCCACGGTGTGGACAACCGGGAAGTGATAAATGCCCCCATACCTCTAACAGCACTCAAGAACACTGTTTTCATAATCAGCCTCCCTCTTTAATTCCCATTATTCCTCCTACATCGACTTTCACCACTAAGCTTCCTTCTCAAGTATCACCATAGTCAACGATTCTAGCGCGCAAAACACTCCCAAGTTCATTGAAACTTCGCTTCAAACTACACAGAGCTTTCAACGTATACACTCCATGTCAAATCGGCCAGCAGGCCTCCTTCGTTGGAACTCTAGAATCTCGTACCATTGATGTATGTTGTGTTTCCGAAACACGCATACAGGATCCTAGTGTGCTCATTCACTTGACCTCACCTCGGCAAGACGGAGAGGCGACGAGATACACCCGTCGTGTATCTGCCAACCCGATGGCAAGTTCTCATAGCCTGACAGGTGTAGGCATAGCACTAAGTACGAGGGCGGAACAAGCACTATTACAGTAGGTCCCCATTAACAGTCATCTATGCGCTGTCCGGCTAAACGGGTACATAGGAACTCGTAAAAATCGGGAAACACGTCGTTGCCTTCTCGTTGTTTCTGCCTACGCTCCCACCGACTGCAACTCAGATCAAGTGAACGATGAATTTCACAGAAAGCTATCTGAACTTCTTCAGAAAGCTAAACGTTCAGACATAGTACTCATAGGGGGTGACTTTAATGCTCAGATAGGTAGCTTAAACCAAACAGAAAGACATTTAGGTGGGTATTCTAGTACTCCGACTCAGCGAACAGATAATGGTGATCGTCTGCTACAATTGTGCTCAAACAATGGTTTGTTTTTAGGGAACTAATTCTAAGCATAAGGAGAGACATAGTCTAACATGACGACAACCTGAGTCAAACCAACGATGGACTGAAATAGACCATATTGCCATCAGTCGTCGTTGGAGAGAGTCGATAGAAGACTGTCGCTTGTTCTGGAATATACGCTTATACTCTGACCATGCTCTGATACGGGCACGCATCTGCTTGCACCTCACTGGACACAGAAAAGGCATACCAAGAAGATCTATTAGAATTGTACTGAGTGACGAGAAAGTCGAAAGTAGATTCCAGGAACAACTGAGGTCACACTTAGGTAGTTCTGAAAACGAGGCTGACCTAGATGTTGCTTGGAAAGATATACGAACAGGTGTGGAAACAGCGCTACAAAGAACCAATGGATTTCTCCAAGGGCTGTTGCACTGGTGGATTCTCGCAAACTCATCCCGTCAGGCTCTGGCTACGTTGATGAGTGAAAGCAAATCAGATCTAGGTTAAGCAAAAGTCTAAGGAACGACTGTGAGCAGTGGTAAGCATCGAAGGCAAAGGAGATGGACAAGGCGGCGGCTATAGGGAACATAAGACAACTCTTCAGACTCAAAGAAGAAACTGGAACTAAAAATTCAAATGTAATTGAGACTTTCAGAAAAAGACGACACTTTTATCTGCTTTCGACCCAAATGTTTAGAACGATAGGCGGAACACTTGAAGGAGCAGTTCAGCTGGCCTTCAGCTAGTTTACAACTACGCACAATTCCCAAACAGCCTGAATTGAACACTGAAGTAGGTCCTTCGACTCTAGCTAAAGTTCGAAAGGCTATAGTTAGTCTGAAACGAAGAACAGCAGATGGTCCAGATGGATTGGCTTCAGAGGTCTTTAAGAATGGTGGTCTAATTTTAGCGAATAGGTTGACTAATATTTTTGCTAAAATCTGGGAATTGGAAGTAATCCCATCTGAATGGTCGCAATCACTGACTATAGCAATATATAAGAAGGGGTCGAAATCACCCTGTAATAACCATAGAGGGATTAATTTGACTAATATAGTATCTAAAATACTAGCTTCGATAATTATCAGACGCCTAACTAAGACTCGTGAACTGCAAATACCAGAAAATCAAGCTGGCTTCAGACCTGGTGGTGATTGCATCGACCACATATGCACCATTAGTCAGGTTCTAGAACACAGGCATGCTTATCGGCGTCCGACGATGGTGGTTTTCCTTGACTTAAAAGCAGGATTTGACCCCGTAGACCGAGAGGTTCTGTGGCCGTGTCTGTCATTGAAAGGCGTACCTCAGAAGTACATAAACCTTGTGAAGACTCTTTACTCGAACACTACTAGTTGAGTCGTCTGTCATCTGATTTCGCAACCTCAAGTGGTGTCCGTCAAGGCTGTCCACCATCTCCATTTTTGTTCAATTTCATCATAGACATAATGTTGGAAATAACACTCTCATCGACTGAATTTTCGGGCATTGATCTCCTACCAGGAGGTCCACTTAACGACTTACAATACGCAGATGACATAGTCCCGTTTGGTGAAGACGCTGACAAAATGCAGTCTTTTGGCAGCACTAAGCAACAATGCCAGAATGTTTGGAATGCGCTTCTCTCCCTCTAAATGCAAGCTGCTGCTTCAGGACTGGTCTGCGTCAACACCTGAACTAAGGATAGGGAGTGAAGTAGTCGAACGCGTTGACAACTTCACTTATCTTGGAAGTCTGATCAGCCTTAATGGGTTGGTGTCTGACGAAATCTCAGCACGGATTCGAAAAGCTCGTTTGGCTTTTGCCAACTTGCGCCACCTATGGCGAAGGCGATATATCCGTCTATCAATAAAAGGACGAGTATACTGCGCGGCAGTCCGTTCTGTTTTACTTTACGGCTGCAAAACGTGGCCATTAAGAGTAGAAGACACTCGTAAGCTACTAGTATTTGACCACAGATGCCTTAGAAATATTGCTGGCATCTTCTGGGATCACCGGGTAAGTAATAGTGAGGTTAGACGCAGGGTATTGTGTAATGATGGTAAATCAGTTAATGAGGTTATGAATCTTCATCGGCTGAGATGGTTGGGCCACATGTTACATATGCCTGAACACCGATTACCACGGCGTGTAATGCTAACCGGTGTTGGGGAAGGTTGGAAGGAAGTTAGGGGCGGCCAAACCAAAACGTGGCATTAGTGCTTGAAGTCACTAACTTTTAGTCTGAGCCATGTTGGTAGATGCAGACTACTTGGTTGGGGTCCGTGTGACTATCGTAACCAATGGTTGGAGACTCTTGGTGACTTGGCTCAGAATCGATCACAATAGCGTAAGTGTATACACTCTTTGTCTTCTCTTAAAAATTTTTCACGTATTTCTTTCTACTAACTAATTCTTTTTTTTTCTGTACTGTATCCTTACATAAAATCTTTCGTTTATATATTACACTATTGAGTTAACTGCTTCTTTGAATCCGGTGTTCATCTTGTGCTAATGAGGTGTGGCAACTTAGACCGATTCATGTATGTATTTGGTCCTACACTGTAGCTGACTGACTGACTCAATACAGAATTTTATTAAGGATGCCAAGTCAGGAAATACTATTGGATTTCTATCACTGACTTAATTTAAGTTGTTGGATAAAGTGAATTGTGTGACGCATATGTATTTAGCATCCTTTTGTACCAATATTTATGTTTTCAAATAAATAAAATAAAGTCTGGTCGCCAGCTAACAGTAGGGTATATCTCGTGGGCTCCTCGTTTTGGCTAGGTGAGGTCAAGTGAGTGACCACACTAAGATCCTCTTTGTATGTTTCAGAGACACAGCATACATCAACCGTATGAGATTCTAGGGTCTTGGCTAAGATTCCTGTTGGTCGATTTGACATAGGCAGCAGTCTTGGGACAATATTTCGCGCACTAGCATCGTTGGCCATGGTGATACTTGAGGAAAAAGTCAAAAGAGGGAATTTGGAGTTGATAGTCGAATTAGGAGGAAGAATAGGAATGGAAGAGGGGAACTGATTATGAATACGGTGGTCTTGAGTTCTGTTAGAGGTATGAGGGTGGTTATGACTTCCCAGTTGCGCACACCATAGAAGGGTTCTTCTAGAGGTACCTGAAAAGGAAATCGGATTAGAGGTGGTCTTAGTGACCTGAGAGTGTTATCTCAATGCCCAAGGGACAACTGCTTGGGGCCAGTCACACATGACATTTTTGTGAGTAATTTTCGTGTTAGCCCTGTACTTGTTGGAACCTTATCCCTGGAGACGAATATCTGTGGAATAAAGCGAAGTGTGCATTTTTAGGGTCGACCCTTCCTTTGTAGGAAGGCAGCATCGCTGTTATGCTGGTTGTCTGAAGGAAATATTTTACTACCGCCACACCCCTGTACAGTTAGCAGTATGACTTCGCTCCCGGACCTTAGGTTTTCTCCTTTCAATCTTATCGTTCCTCAACCGGTCTGTCTGGCATGGTAGGATCTTGAGGATTTTGATAGAATTTTGTTCACTGAGCTGGATGGTTTGGTCGTGGTGCTTTCATCGTTCTTCTGAAGTTTGTGCTGATGATGTCGTTCAATAGCAATTCTTGATAGAAATGCATCTTCGGACAACATGTTTAACTGTTTCCATGCTATTGGTTCCTATTACGAATTTGAATAAAGCCCGCAGAACAATTAAATCAGAATAGTATGGACTCATATTTTGTGGTTTCTCATCGGCTGCTTACGACTATATATGTATTGAAGTGTAATATTGAGGTATGACAATGTGAAACAATTGTTATTGATGAAAAAATTAAAATGACTGAGATTATCAATTGTATATATATATGTAATTGAACAGGTGTGAGGGAATAATCAAATGAAGTCTGGAGACAGAATAGGGTGGGTCGTGTGATAATTATAGTTGTGAAGAGTCTACGTAAAATTCAAATCACTTGAAAATGGTTATAGAAGATTTATAACAATGTAATAATGATTGCTTATAACTAAAATTGAAGAGTTGCATAATAATTACGTAAGATCCGAAGAGTTTAGACTGTCACGTGGATGAAAAAACCCCAACAAATGAAAGGATGATCTTGGCATTCATAAAAACTAGTTTGACGAACACTGCATTGCAAAAGAGACACCAATAAAATAGTAATAATAGGCAAAAATAATAATTGCAGGTGATTTTAGTCAAATCTGTAAATTTAACAAAATAATAGGTTGATTACTGTCTCTTTCTGGACGCATAGATCAGGTTTGGGGCCCTAAATTGCTATGGAAGAGTCGGCTGATAACTTGGAAGGATTGTTTTTGAATTCCATATTTAAATAACCTCACATGTGCCCACTCATATATATATATATATATATATATATATATATATATATATATATTGTTGATTATCTTTGTAACTCAAATCCTTTCCGTCATCAAGTTCTTTTGCCTCACACTATATCATAGCCCTTTGTCACACTTTAATCCATATTTGGTTGTGACTAGCTGACGAGAAACCGTGAAACAGAATAAATTCATATTATTCTGCCTCAGTTGTTGATCTGGCTTGATTTAACTGTTTTGTTTTGATCAGCATATGCTTTTTGCGTTCATTTTGTATAGTTACCGAATCAACTAATTTCTTCAGTTGAACGTCTACCGTTAACTACTGGTGGTGCACCTTTGATTATACGTGGAAAAGATTTCCATGTAATTCGTTTGGTTGTATTAAAAGAACGAGATTGTCACGATGTTTATTCAACATTGACACGGTTACTTTGTGTTGGTAAGTGTTAAGCTCAAGAATAAAACATGGATGTGAAATCGTTCATTTCTCAGATGTTATCTTTTAGTAATTAAAGTAACAGAATATGTTGCTAGAGTTAACTTGAATGATACATCCTAATTAAAATATTTATAAATTATTTATTGAAAGCTCTAGTTATTTTACTAAATAAACTCACTAAGATAGCTCTAGTTACCATTCATGAATAAACTGGACAATTCAGTCGGCTTTGATAGCCCTGGTTCTGCGAAAATCCCAATCTTCATGCCATTTGACCGACTATCTTTTAGGCATACTCTTCGTTCTTGTTGTGACTCATCTGAATGGTGCATATCTCCTCTGGTACTTAAATCAGCTCTCTTCAATGCGTCTCCGTACTTACTACATAGTTTTGTTATATCTAGAGCTTCAGGACTCGAACGCTAGAACCCTCCAAGTCTCAAATGATAAGACAGAAGACAAGTGAAAGAAATGCTATTCCAAACAGTGTCAAATATGGTACAAAACTCCCAGGTTTTTAGTAAAAACGAAATCATCATTATGGTCATCCAATCCGCATACAGGGGTTTTGGCATTTGTCCGATAGGGAAGCTACACGTAGAGATTCTGGAATATTCTTCGAAAAGATGATTGGATAGAATATCTTAGGCTTTTCCTGAACTTCTTAGAGCTTCCTCGAGTTCACCCGCGGGGCGTACTCACGAGTTTATATACAAGTTGTGAATTAAGCAATAAAAGAATAAATGTACATCCGTGAGATATTTCTAATTTTTTCTCATTCATCAATACATGTCGACCAGTTGGTTCTAATCAAGATGCTGGTTAGCTCATTTATTCATCCAAGTTCGTTAGTGTGTTTAAATTGTAATTCAGGTACAAAGCAGATATATGTTACAAACAATATACTGACAAAATATTTTATGGATTATCAATAAGTAGTACCCAAACATATGTACGTGTGCCTTTTTAAACCTAATAATCTCGGGTGTTAAGTTGTGTCGTAGCCGCTTACATACTGAAACAATTCCTACTTAACTTGTAAGCTGACTTCCTAGTATATGATGGCGCAACATTGTTTTGTGTTTGAGTCAAATTATTTCTTATTTATTTATTTATTTGAACACAAATATTGATAGAAGGGGGCACCAGATATATATGCGCCACACAAAACAATGAGAATGGGACGAGAAAAAGAATGTAAGGTGCGTATCAGAAAAAAGGAACAATAACGACTACAGATTAGTGTATGGTAGTGAAATAATAATAAAAATAATAATAATAGTGTGGGAAACGGAAAGGTACAACCAGAAGAAGTTTTTCAGTTAAGGAAGTTACAACCACTTCTTATGAAGAAAGTAAAAGAAGATTACAGCAGGATCGCCACTGGCTTCTATTCTGAGCCATATCTGATAACGTCTCTAGCCACTGTCGCACAATCTCTCAGACCCCAACCAGGGAGTCGTGAAGGACCAACACAAGCCAGCCCTTTGCAGGTTTCTTTCATACCACGACACCATGTCATACACTGCCCACCTCTCCGATTTTTCCAACCAGTCCCAGAGTCGGCAAATAATGCACGACGTGGAATTCTCTGGGACGACATTCGTAGAACATGTCCAAGCCACTGAAGTCGGTGTTTCAAGATGGTGACATCGATTGCATTATCATTTCTGTGCCCGAACACACGATACCGGACCTCTGCATTACTAACATGGTGTTGCTACTGGATGCCAGCAATTCTTCGGAGACAACGATGATCAAACACAGAGAGTCGTCTAACATCCTCAACTCGGAGAGGCCAGGTTTCACAAGCATAGAGCAGAACAGCTCTCACCGACGCGTTGTAGATCCGAACTTTTTTAGTCAGACTTAAATCACGAAGGAGCCAAAGATGGCCCGGATTGGCATAAGCCGCTCTGGCTTTCACTATACGTGCATTGATCTCATCACTCACGCCACCACCAGCACTTATGCAGCTACCTAGATACATGAACTTCTCGACTACTTCTATCTGTTCACCATCCAGGGTGAGTGCAGGATTAGAATCCTGCCAGTCTTGTAGAAGTACTTTGCACTTCGAAGGTGCAAAGCACATACCATACCTACGGACACTGATTGCCAACTGATTAAGTGAGGATTGCATGACTTGGGCATTATCGCACAATAA